TATTTGTGATTAAAAGAGAAAGTTCAAAACCAGAAAAAATACGCTAAGTAGAAGATAGGAGAAAGAAAAGATTAAAATAGGATGGTGAGACAGTATAAAAATTAAGGCAAATTTAAAGCTAAAAATGTGGGAACAAAAATTTAGAAAGAATAGGGCAACACTGTAAAATGAGAGAATTTTCTAAAATCCACACTTAAAGTAGCATATGTGAAATTAAAAATGAAAAGGAGGAAAGCACTATAAAATAGAAAATTAAACCAAAAAAGTTAAAAATAATATATTGATAAAATCCTGATAAAACAGTTAAAAATATTTCAAAAGATGAAATTTTAAATAACAGGTGGAAGGTAAAAGAGAATTTAAGGTAAGATCTAAGAGGCAAAAAAAAGAAAAAAAAAAGAAAAAGAAAAGAAGCCAGAAGCCAGCTACTCCAGAGGCTGAGGTGGGAGGATCAGCTGAGCCCATGATCGTGTACTGTACTCCAGCCTAGGCGACAGGGTAACACCCTATCTCTAAAAAAATAAATAAAAATAATAAAAGGAATGTTCTAGTAGGATTTAGATTTTTAAAGTTACAAAAAATACCATAAAAATAGAAAGAAAAGAAAATTTATTTTTTAAAAATTAAGTTTAAAGTGAGACAAGAACAAAAGCAGACAATAATTGGCCAAAGACTGCAAGTTGTAAATAGTGGTCTGGGTGGGTCTAGTTGCTGCAGTTGAGGAAGCCAAGAGTAGTCGATAGGGCAAAGATGGATGATGAGACACCTTTTCTGCTCACCCATAGCATTCTCAGCCCACACGGGTGAAGACCAGGATCCTGGTACTTTAACGCATCTCACGGTTGAGCTCGGGCCTCCCAAAGTCGAACCTCAAGCCAGCAAATACTCCTTCATTTTGGTTCTTGGAATGCGTTTGATTCTACGTTAGTTTTTCTTTATCTGATTTAATAGTTCTTTCATTATCTTTGACTTCCTTTATGATAAAATTAGCATGTGGAAGGCAATTAATACATGTCGTTGAGTGAATTTATTCCATCTTATCTCCTTGACATTCTTGTGGTATTTGATCTGGTCATTGCACTGTTTATTTTTCACATACACAAGCACTCACGCTTACACCCCCCCCATCACCTTGGCTCATCGCTGAGGTTGCAACACTTTTTATTGATCCCGAGTTGCCTGGTTGTTCACTTCTCTGTCATTGGTGGCAGTGGAATTGGGCAGGGGAATGAGACCATCTACAGCAGTGGTCCCCAATCTATTTGGCACCAGGGACTGGTTTCATGGAAGACAATTTTTCCACAGACTGGGAAGTGAGGGGCAGAGGCAGAGCTCAGGTGGTGGTGAAGCGATGGGGAGCGGATGCAAATACAGATGAAGCTTCGCTCACCTCCTGTTGTGTGCCCCCCTCTTCCTAAATTTCATGGAAGACAATTTTTCCACAGTGGGGCAGGGGGCTGGTGGGGAGCTTTGTGGCCTAGGGGTGGAGGACTGCAGATCTACAGGACTTGCTCATGGACTGGACTGTTGAAGTGAGGGTGTAGTGATGAGGGAAAGTGGAGTCACGGATGACTCCATGGCATCTGCTTTTGTGAGTTCGTTGATGTTAGTCCAGGAGAAGACCAGGTTAGTTGTGGTGGTTAGGAATCAAGGTCGGGTTGGGACTAGAAAGTTCTGGGGCAACTATAGCTATCTATAACCCCTAAATTCTCAGGAAGTCTTGGACTTCACAACAGACCGTTATGGACTGAATGTCTGTGCCCCTTCCCCCAATTCATATATTGAAACCCTAGTCCCAGTGTGATGGTGTTTCGAGACAGGGCCTTTGGGAGGCAATTGGGTCATGAGGGTGGAGTCCTTATGAATGCGATTAGTGCTTTTATAAGAAGAGGTCTCTTCCTGTCAAGTCAGGACACGACAAGACGGCTGTCCATGAATCAGAGAGTGGGCCCTGACCAGACACCGAATCTGCCAGTGCCTTAGTCTTGGCCTCCCCAGTCTCTAGAACTATAAGAAATAAATTTCTGTTGTTTAAGACACACGGTCTATACTTTGTAGTGCTATACTTTGTTACAGCAGCCAGAGCTGCCTAGATACAGACACAGTCCCTCCCCAAAATGGAAATCTTTCGGAGGCAGCAGATGGCTCATTTCATATACCAGTAGGGCATGCTAATTCTGGTCCTCCACTCATATTCTGGGTCTTGGGGGGCATTCCTCAAAGCATTTTACATCATATTGGCCATCCATCATCCAGAGACCAAAGTCAGACAAAGCACATCACCTGGAACCTTCTGTGCCCAAATTACCCTGAAGTGCAGAGTTTACCCACAACACCCTTCATAACAATGATAAACTTCCACCTCTTGACTCCAATGAGATCTCCCAGAACCCCAGCCAAGTAGAGAGTAACAAATCACCTTGACCCTTCAACAGAATATAGTCCTTTAGAATAGATGCTATATTCAAGGCTGCCATGAGAACGGGGAGTAGACTCTATCTCCTCATGTATTCAGGCCTTCCCTTTTCTATGTTGGGTTGAGTTGGTCCCTTCTGTTCACGAAACAATGGATTCAGCTTCCTTTACCAAACTGTAACACTTTCTGGTTCAACCTTGCTGATATTACACCTAGGTCCCTGCTATATACTGAATGCTTCTGTCCCCTCACCCCCTCAAATTCATGTGCTAAAATTCTAATCCCCAATGTGACGGTATTAGGATGTGGAGGCTTTGGCAGGTGATTAGATCATAAGAATGAAGTCCTCATGAATGGGATGAGTACCCTTATAAAAGAGCCTCTGGAGAGTTCCCTTGCCCCTACTGCCATGTTGAGGACACAATGAGAAGATGGCAGACTATGGACCTCACTATGGTAAGGGTATCTGCCTTTATCAGACACTGAATCTGCCAGTGCCTTGATTGTGGACTTCCCAGCCTCCAGAACTGTGATAAACAAATTTCCTCATAGGTTTTTACCTTTTGAAATGGGGTCTTGCTATGTTGTCCAGGCTGGTCTCATACTCCTGGCCTCAAGTGATCCTCTCATCTCAGCCTCTCAAGTAGCAGGTGTAAGCCACCACACCTGGCATGATAAACAAATTTCTGTTGTTCATAAACCAGTCTGTGTTATTGTTATAGCAGCCCTAATGGGCTAAGACAGCCCCCTTGAGTAATATTTTGGTGTTTCTAAATTCTTCAGCCATGTATTTTGAATTTCTTGGTTTACTCACACAGTTAGCTGTTCACATCCATTGTGGACAGATTTACAGTGTTTCAGAAAAGAATATTATTTCTAACTCTTTTGAGAGAGCTTATTGTAATACTTGTTATAATGGGAATATAGTGAAGTAATGGACCGGGTGTATGCTGGTGGAGAAAGCTTCATATCCAGTCTGTGTTGTGGTCTTCCTTTAGCCTATGTGAGGAAGCCCGGGCTCACTCCACTTAGAGGGCATGGGGATATGTCCACCCCAGCCCTGTAGCCTACACACCGGCTGATACTACACTTTCTGCCATATGGCCAATCAAAATGAGATCTGCCTGTTGAACTTATGTATAATAATTGTCTTGGCCCTCCTTCCTTTGCTCTTGTCCTTGCTCTTCTATTCCTACTTCTATTTTTGGTTTTCTTGACTTCATCTCCCATTTCTAGTCCTGAAATCCCAGATTCTATTATTTCAATCCTTTCTTCTCTTCTTCTTCTGTCTTCCCATTCTTGTCTCCACTGGCCCCTCTCCCAGCCATGGAATCCCTGCCCTCCCAATCCTCTACAGTTTGAATAGACAAGTTTTGCCTACATCACAGTTTTGTGGAGGATTCTAGAAAGATCCGTGTGAACACTAAAAACCAAAGGTTCCTTGTGTTCATTCATTCTTTAAACAAATATTGATTGAGGCCTATGTGTGTGGTAGGCACTGCAGATGTAAAGTTAAGTATTTTGCACCTTCAAGGAGACCACAGTTCCTACCAGGGTAATCCTGAATTTTGCTTATACTATCATAGAGCTTTGTACAACATTTAGAAATTCAGGAACAATTTAATATCTCTTTTTTCTTTGTTTCTATATAGTGGACTCTTCCATCACACAAATTTAAGCCACTGCCAACTTCTGAATTGTGGTTTTTCTACGGTCACCATTGGACACTTGATATCCACAGCATTTGAGAATGGCGGCCACCTCCTCAATGACATTCTTTCCTCTCGAGCTCTCCCGAACATTCCGGCTCCTCTTCGGGAGTTCCTTTTCTTTTGCTCACACCTACAATATTGGTGTTCCCCAGGTTCCATCCTTAGCTAGTATCTCTTCTCTACGCACTTCCCTGGGCAGACCACACTGAACTTTCAGTGGGTTTCTCCCCCGCGCCTACCTGAAACACTCTTCCTTACCCTGTTTACTTGGTTGAAGTCTCCATCATCAGCTTTTCCCCACCCGTGTCTGGGAAGGCCTCCCTTGGGCAGGCTGCCATAGTCTCCTTTACTTTGCTTATCCCAGAGTGCAGGACACGGTCTACCTGCTCAGCCGCCAGCCTGCACATGCTGAGGCCAGGGACCACGCCTGGGTTGCCCACCTCTGCATCCGCAGTGCCACTACAGCGCCTAGCCCTGAGCAGTTGTCCAATAGAGTGCTGAGTAAATGAAAGAATGAGTAAAGCCTTGTAACAGGAAAAGGGCCGGCGTGGCTACACCCGGGGGCTACACAGGACACTTCTGGGTCGGCAGCAACTTCGGAGTAAGACCCGACCGGTGGAGCGCAGCCGTGGGGGCCCGGGATGGGCGCGTTCAGGAGCGGGTCTGGAAGGCACCCGCCGGTGGGAGAGGGGGCCGGAGCCAGCCGGGGCCGGGCACGAAGTCGTCTCAGAAGCCGCCCAGCTTGGAGCCGCCTGTTGCAGCGAGTTGCCCCTGCAGGGCGAGGCGGGAGAAGCCTCGGCGGCCCCTGCCCAGCTCTTTAGCCTCAGCCACAGAGGAACCGCGGGTGACCAACTTATCCGCCATGGATTCGTCCCGCGCGCCTCGCTCTTGGCCCCACCCAGCCACCGTTGCTCTGTAGAACGCCGCTCCCGTGACCCGGAAGAGGATTCTCCTTAGCAACCGCGGGACCGCGGCGGCGCCAGCCCCTCGGGAGCAACGGTGAGGCCCTTCCTTGTCCCCGCCACCCGCCCTCAACGCCGGACGCCCCATCCGGGACCGACCCCAGAATCTGGTCCGCGGGGGCTCCGTGGCGCCTCGCCCAGCACATGCGGCGGCGGCCTGCGGGGAGCACGCTGCGCCTCTGGCGTGGCTCCCTGGCCCAGGCGTCGCCCCTGCCCTCCCCACGCCCCCCGCTACTGGCCGGCCGGCCGGGCCTCCTAGGCCGCGCACCTTAGCTCCTGGGCCCAGCAGGCCCTCCCTTGTAGCCTTGTATGGTGCGCGGGGTGGGGGGAGCCAAGAATTAGCGCTTGTTGCTGGAGAGAGGACGCCTCTTGAGGCTTGGGTCACCTGTGCACGCGTTCTCATGGGTCCTGATCAAGATGTTCGGGACCCGCAGGGATGGGACGCCTCGGGAATCTTGAACAGAAGCTGCTTAATTATATAACACTGTACTTGACGTTTGCCTGCCGCTTTGCGCTTTCCAAAGTGATACACTTTTATCTGCTTTATTGATCGCAGAGACGCATTTAATTGCACATTTCGAACTGATCCTTTTCCGGGGAATTAGCTTTCTAATTGTGAGTGAAATGTAGTTACTATATTCTGGAAATCTCTCAGGGACTGAATAGATTTGAGAAAGATTTCTAGTGAAATTTTCTACGTTGACGGAAATAGGGGCAGGTGTTGTTAATAATCCTGATTTACACTTGAAAAGACTATGGCGCTGAGAACCTCCCTTAGTTGAGTTTGAGCGAGTAGTACTGAGAAAACTGTAAGCCTTATTTGAATATTGTTGGATAACGGCTTTATATTTAATCCAGTGATCATGGAGCTAAAACTGAAGCATGTGAACAATCTTTGGGAATTGTAACTATACCAGACCAATCTGCCCTCCTTTTGGGAGGTAACAAAATGACATTATTTGGGAATAAAATGTAGGGGTTTATATACCAAAATTCATTCAAAACTGTGTAATTTCATTTCACTTCAATAAATATTTATTAAGCACCTACAGCATTTTATATGCACTTGAAAGGCTATAGAAGAAATAAGAGACTGAACCCATTAAATTGTTAGGAAAGCAATAAAATGGAATTTGTTTAAATGCAAAATGTGTGGTACAGATATATTAAGTGCTATAGCAGGTCAGAGGGTGGAGAAATCCATATGGGCTGGAGTTTTCAGGAGTATGTTTATGGATTAAATAGGGCTTGATTTGTCTCTAAAGCATAGATATAATTTGTATTTGTATTGGAGGGGAGGGCAAGTCCTAAATAATTTCTTTCCTTATATTCTTATGGGTTTGGAAAATAGTTCGGCAAGGCATTTTAAAGTCCTTATTTAAAGCTCTAAAGTCAACTTGATTTCTAATTTGTTTCTTTCAAATACTATCTGTACAAATCTGTCTGGCATTTTTTGTTTGAGATCTAAAATAATGAGGCTACTAGCAGGAAGCGCTGCCACATAGAGATTCTTTTCTTTGCTTCTGTAGTTGGTCTTATATTTATATGTAACATCACAGTTTATGTAGACTTAGTTACTTTTTGATACATATTTAAGAGTCTTGTGAAATGTTGCCTTTTATTTATTTGACTGATATTTCCCAGGTGCTTCCTATGTATTAACAGGAGGCACTGTGTCAGGAAATACCAGAAACAATAGTCACTTAGCAACCAGTAGCTATGCTGGTTTGTGTGTGTGTGTGTGTGTGTGTGTGTGTTTGCCTGTCAGCCTTTGATGCTCAGCATTTTGCCTTGGGACATAGAAGGGCCAGAGCAATTTATATAGACATCTAAATTGACTTTTTTTTTTTTTTTTAAGTTTAATAGGGATTTTAGGCTCAATTGCTTTGGTCATCCACCAAAGATACATTTGTGAAGATGCATAAACTCTTAAGGAGACCTCTTAAGATGTTTTGTTGCTTTCTTATGGGCTTACTGCTCATTTGTTTACTTATTCAACAAATACAGTATTTGAGTGCTTACTTGGTGCTAAGCACTTTGCTTGACAATGGGGATGGAAGAGTGTAAATGCATACATGGTCCCTGTCCTCAGCAGATGATAATCAAATAATCACACATATGTAAAACTACAGCTGTGACAAGGGTTTTAGTTAGAGAAATCACAGAAGTGACATTTGAACAGAGATCTGCAGGATACATAGGAAGGGAAGAGTGTTTCAGTTAGAGCAAACAGCAGGGCAGAAACCCTCTGATGGCAGGGTCCATTCAGAAGACCAGGGACTTAAGCCCTGTATATGGCGCTGGAAGAGGAAGAATTTGGTAGGAGAACGGACTGGAGAGGTGGGCAGGGGCCAAATGGTGCTAGGCCTTGTAGGGAGGTTGAGGAGTAAAGAGAAGCCTCTCTAGGGTTTTATTTAGGGACTTAGGTTAGATTTTGGGTGGGGATGACACCATTAGATTATGTTTGAATAGCCTACTTTGTGTTTCTACCATTGCTTAGTATTTGTATTGTTTTCTCATCTCTTATTTCTTTAACATGCTCTTGCTTTTTTGTGGTTGGAGAAGCCTCCATGTCCCACCAGCAAGACCTGTCCATTTTTTTTTTTTTTTAATGACAGAAAAGGAATTTTAGGGATTAGAATTAGTCTTTAGGAGTTAGTTTATTTGAAATTTTTTTAATCAGCATTACCACTAGGACACTAATTTTTGTGACTTTTTCCTTTTTTTCTTTTTAAAAATTATAAAAAACATAAGTTAACCTTAACCATTTTTAAGTGTATAGTTCAGTGGTGTTAACTATATTTACATTGTTGTGTAGCTATGCATATCTCTACAACCTTTTTTCTTGTGAAACTGAGAGCCATGTCCATTTTTATTAATACCTTCATGCTTTTTCCCTGTTATATCCTTCCTTCTCCCATCAGTCAATTCAAGTCCTACCAATTCTTAAAGACCCAGCTCCTCACACTGTCTTTGAACTTGCATTCGTAGACTCATAGTGAAAAGAGGCCTTAGAAATCATCCAAACCCCTTTTCTTCTGCATGAGACAATAGAGTCCTGTAGAAGTTTCAATGATTTGCCAGAGGACAGACATTTATTGAGTTGGGGCAGAGTTGGGGCTAGAGCTGTAATCTTCCACCTCCTGGGCAAGTGCCTTTTTTGCTTTGGCCTGCTTGCTTGTAATGTAGTGCTCTATTCTTCAGTTAGACCACAAGTACCACTAAGGCACAGAAACTGATTTAAATATTCCTGTGGCATTAGGCTGAGGCATATTAGCTGTTCAGGAAATATTCATTGATTAATTATCTTCAGGACTTCCATTGCCTAAAGTGGCCCTATGTGAAATTTTGAACTTCATTGATTTCAGTTCAATATGTCTCTTTTGTAATCAGAATTGAGCTCTTTCACCTTTCCTTAATGTCCTCTTTAGTGCATATATTTGCCCATGACACAAATACTTGGGTTCCCCTAAAAATTTTGATGCAAATCTAATGAAAAAGCCAACAGAACTGAAAAACCCAATGCATTAGACCTTTTAGGTTAGCTGATTTATTTGAGACAGAGGTTCATGCTTATTTTTGAGTTTTATTGCTCCTAACTGTTTTTGAGACAATCAGATTCGTACCACAGTTTATAGTGCTCATCTCAGAAGGCCTACAAGACCAATTGATTTCGAGTATTGGACTGGAAATGATTTTGAGATTGCTCAATATTCTAAGTGCACAAAAAGTGTAACAAAGCATTTTCTTGTGTGAGGAAGATTTGTAAACATTTTTTATTTTGTATTTTTCTAAAATTTTTTATTTTTACATTTTAGAGACAAAGTCTCACTATTTTGCTCAGGCTTTTCCTCCTGGGCTCAAGCAGTCCTCCTGCTTCAGCCTCCTGAGTTGCTGGGACTGCAGGCTCCAGCTAGTGTCCCTGGCTAAGATTTGTAAACTTTTATTTGCAGTTTACCTGCTTATCTCAGACTCTTTGGTTTCTTTGGTTGGTTGGTTGTTTTTTTTTTCAGAGACATTGTCTTGCTCTGTTGCCTGAGATAGAGTGCACTGGCCTCTTCATAGTTCTCTGCAGCCTCAAACTCCTGGGCTCAAGTGATCCTCCTGCCTCAGCTTCCTGAGTAGCTGGGACTACAGGTGCATGCCACCACACCCAGCTAATTTTTCTGTTTTTTGTAGAGATGGGGTCTCGATCTTGCTCAGGCTGCTCTCAAACTCCTGGCCTCGAGCAGTCCTCCTACCTTGGCCTACCAAAGTGCTAGGATTACAGGCGGGAGCTACTGTGCCTGGCCTGACTTTGGTTTCTTGTAATGTTGTATGACCAGCCTTGTAGAATCCAGTTTTTAGAATGTCCTTTTATTTTTACCTTCAAAAAGTTTTTTGTTTTATAGGAGGAGTTGCTGTGGGAAATGAAATACTATTGAGCATGAGTACAAATAGAACTCTGCGCTGGAATGAGCTGATAGATCCCCCTCTGAGGTCTAGCCATCTGTGCCATTTTTGGTGATGTCGGGGAGGTGGAGATTTGACCAGAATTCTCATTGTCTTTGTTATACTGAGGGTGGTGGTAGAACTGCACAAGATGCTTCTTTTTGTCATGTAGCCTGAAATAGAAGGATTTGACAACAAGGATTTTTCATATAGAGAGCATTTTATTTGGAACCATAGCAAGAACTTGATGTCCTAGAATTGCTGTTATTTGTATGTTAAGGTTAGGCTTGGTCAAGTTTAGTCAACTGTTAGTCCAACAACTTCTGATACCTTTCTTGCCTCCTGATAACAGGCTGCCTCTGAGAAGCACTAATGGTGGCAGACAAGAGATAGTGTTCACACTGGTGGGCAAGGACTTCGATGTGGTGCAAAGCACAATGAAATTGTCTGTGAGGAAATTATGTGGGAATAAGGGCTGATGAAGAGGTACCGTACCCTGCCCTCTACTTAGGGAAGAAGAGGAAGGGAAGTATCGTTTATGGAGCCCCTCCTATGTATTAGTCATTTAATATCAGTTGCCCATTTGAGAGGATGGCTTAATGATAA